CTTTATCTTTTCTATTGTACGATTCTCTGGCTGGGGCGCCAGCTCAAATCTCGCCTAGGGCTGCAAATTGTCTAGAGCCGGCCCTGGGATAACCAGTCAGCAGTGTTCTCTGACTATCAATCTCTGTACACAACTCCAGGCCAATCAAATAAATGGACTTTGAGATATTTCGGTCTGGACCCAAGTGTCATTTACTGTTTAATGTGCAGCATCTAAACATTGCAACAAGTATCTTGTTGTCTATAGTCTGTGCCTAAACGTTTCAAACTATGATCATGTATTTTAATACAAGACAACCTTTAACCTGGAAGGAGTTTGATCTGATTGATTTCCCTGCAACTCATTAAACTTTAAAAAAGCGGATAAGATTAAAGATGATAAACATTCCTTAGTGTGTTTGCTCTTTAAAGTCAATACAACATGTTCTCCATTGAGAAAGAGTAAAAGAAAAAATCAATGGAAAGATATTTTAGTTTGTATTGCAACATATTTTCTGTGTGGCTTCTTAACCTCAACATATATTAATATCCCTACTTTATGAGAGAGGAGACAGTTAGAGAATTCAGTTCATTTTACTGTATTTTAAAGCGCAACAACATTAGCTTTGTACCTCCTGGCCTAGTGCTAATAAACAAAAAAGAACATATTATAGAATACATATAGAAGTTTAGTTTAGCTTAGTTAATGGTCCAATATATATATATATTTAAATATATATAGTAGGCTATAGTTTGCATTCATCTGAGTACTACATCTGAATCATAGGACGTACACATCTGATGAAGGCCAAGGTAATGCCACAAAACAAAGAAACAAGTAAATATTAAAGCAATCAGTTGGGTGTCCTTTTTTTATTTGGTAAAGATAAAGGAAGAGTAGTGATACTCCAAACATTTTATCAGCAATCAATCAACAAAGTAAATCAGTCATTGTTAAACAGACCATTCGCAGATCACACTTGTTAAAGCCCCTCCCTTGGTTTCTCCCTCTGTGCCTTCTAAATGTTTTTTTGGTTTTAAATCATAAGTTAGTGTTTGTATTCCCCTTTCGTTCCCCTCTTTACTACCTCTCAGGGGAATGTAGGGATGTTTTTTATAGGCCTTACTGAGCTCTCCACCAAACTGTGTGCTCTCCTCTCAATCCTTACTTTCTGTTTCCCCTCCCCCACTCTCTCTTGTATGTTCACAGCCCGTACCTTACCTGTTTGCTTCAGACACACCCGGCTACTGCATATTAACCAATCGCTGCTTCAAGACACAGACACCAAGGAGGTGTACTTCCTGTGTTTCGCGAGAGAAGAATGGAGCAGGAGAGAGTTATGTACTATATGTGCCAGGGGGGTCCACAAAAGAGATCACATCGACAGTAGAAGGGAGGGGAAATAACTAAAGCAGTGGAGAGACTTTAAGTTGATTTATTAGAGATCTTTCTGTTCAGCTGCAACCACTGAGAGGAGGACAAGACAGAGAGAAGGAGGAGGGGAAAGATAAGTGTCAATCTGTTCAGACTTGTTTGGGAATTTGAGGAAGGAGGGGAGAGACAGAGAGAGAGACAGCAGGGAAAAGTAAGGAGAGCTCAGGCGTAAACATTAAGTGTTTCACAAGATTCTCAGTATTGAGAGAAAAATATAGTTTTGATTAGTTCGAGCACATTTGTATTGTCAACTAAACAATGTGAGTTGTCATTTATTGTGTGTTGTGCAATCCCATGCGTTTGAGCTGAACTGGACTCAGTGGGGAGACCTCAGATCTCCCCAGGATACTACATTCAGGTGAGTGGCTTTATCATGGATTTTATATTGACATTTCTTCTTTAACTTGCTCCTGTTTTGAGCACAGTTAGAGTAAGGTCCAGCTGCGTTGTGGTTTACATGTTACATGCCGTGCCTATGTGTCACAGGCCTTCACTTTCTGAAAGACTTCTCTTGGTATGCTGTGCTTTGCAAGTCTGTGCTGAATTCTTTGAGAACTGTAAGAGACTGCCACCTTTTTTTTTTCTGGAAATACTGTTCTACTGTAAAAGTATAACACTGCCATATTTATTGTATTTGACTAAATAACGTAAAAGAACACAGCTTCATTGTGGCAGCTATCAGCATGTGTCAAATGGGGCAGTAATGAACATTTCGTTTTTAACCCTCCTGTATATCCTCAGATTGACTTTACACCCTTTATCCTCTGGGGTCAAATTGACCCCAGTAGTTTAAAACTCAAGACAATGATCATATTGCACATTTTAACCAAAATGTATGTCTCTGGTGCTTTAGGTATCTTAGTTGACTACCTAAATAACCATTTAAATAAAACTTTACCCCAACCTCCCCCCCCCACAGACCCCTTTATACATCCAGAATTCCTATTGTGTAACTATCGAAAAATATATAAATCACCATAAAATCTCACTGATTTAAATACAATTTTAAAGTAAGATCTTTTTGATGTTGTCAAAGGACCAATAACTAAAGCAGAGGGTCGTTTTTTTTTTACAATGATACATTTGCATGTAATAGTCACCTCAATATCATCCTACACAATCAACACAACTATGTGTACAATTTTGACATGTTTTATACTACTAAAACAAGGAACACCGATGCGTACAAAGTGCGTACAGGACATTTAAAAAAATATCTTCATGTTCATTTCATTTCAATCTTTATTTCGAACGGACTAAAAAAAGCAACAAATAACAAATGTGAAAAACAGAATACCGTATTATTAAAATGTAGTATTTATCCACATTCATGATAATATGTATATATTCAACAAAACAAAAAAAAGTCTTAATAATAATAAATCATATGTGTCCGAAAGGGAGCAGGAGGAAGCAAATGCTTATTAATTCCCACCCCTTACTTGATCAATGATTGTCCTTTAAATCATTATGCAAGTTATTCCTACTTACATTTACATTTATACATACATATACTAATCATTTCTCATCTTCAATCACCTCTTTTTCATTGTCATAGTTTTCCAAAAAAGTGTTTCTGTACAAACTATGAGAATGAAGATGTTCATTTTATGTTTACCCATTAGTCCTCACTAAATTAGGAAAAGTCATGAAATACTAGGCAAAAAGAATAATGTGAACCATTTGATTAGATACGTTAAACATTGAATGGGGTCAAATTGACCCCAAGGATAACAGAAGGGTTAAGAGTACTTGTACTAACTTCTGTGACATTACCTATACATTTGTAGACCATGTTGCTTATTTGAGTTGAATTCCATTGATCTGTCTATACCTGAAGTTATCTAACTCTCAAAGGTCGATTTCTTAATTGATGATGTGGACTGTTGCTGTCTTTTAGGTTCTCCAAATAATAAAATGGGAACTAAAAGGCCCAGCTGCACGCCCTTTGACACTTTAACTAAACTCAACACATCTGAACGCAAGCTTCAGCCAGGTGGAAAAATCTCCCGCGATCCAAGTCCAAGGCCAGCAATGACTGCCCAGTTGGAGAGAGAGAGAGACGGCAACCGGGAGGAAGACAGGAGGAGAGAACGAGAGGCCGAGAAAATGAGGGACAAAACGAGATACAAAGATATGGATCCAAGAGATAAATCTCTGAAAGAGACCGAGCTCCTGCACCAAGGCCAAGAGAGGGAGATAGAGAGAGGACCGAAAGAGTGAGGAGGCAGGAAGACGACAGAAGCAAAAATGGGAGGCCCCTGTACAAATTTAGAGAAGGAGAGTTTGAGAGAACTAGAAAGGGGGACGAAGAAAGGCGACACTTTTCCCCGGATGAGAAAAAGCAGTCCAGGTCGCGGCAGAGGAATGGCACCCACCGTGGAGTTGGACAAAGAGAGGGAGGAAAGAAGGCAGAGAGATGGGCCGAGAAGAGTAGAGCCAGATGACCGGGAGAGAGAAAGAGAAAGGACGCGGCAGAGAGAGAGGGAGAGGGAAAGAGATGATATCCGAAGCAGGGGAAAGGCCGAGGGAACAAACACTTTAGGAAGACCCGTAGAAGATGATAGATCACGAAAGATGAAAAGATATCCGGAGCCTGATGTCGTTTTTCAAGACAGGAGAAGAGAAGGGGGTAATTCACGGGACAGAAGAGAGAGGGATGCTGCTAGAAAAAGGGATAAGCTGGAGCCTAACACGGGAGAGAGGGAGGTCAGGGTGCCTTCTGCACACAGGAGAAGAGAGAGAGAAATGCCCTCTGATAGGGGAGAGGGAAGGAGGGACACTAGGAGTGAAGGAGACAGTGATGAGAGAGAGCGAAAGAAGGAGAGAGTCAGGATCAAAGACAGGCAGGAGTTGACATATCAACACAGCAGAAGTGAGGGGGACAACAACGGGAAAAAACAGGGGGATAGAGAACAAGACAGGCAAGGATACAAGGAAGAGGACAGGCAGAGATACAGGGACAGAGAAGCGGATCGAACCAGGAGGAAGGGAGGGGAAAAAGAGAGAGAGAGATACAGAGAGGCTGACAGGAGAGTGGAGCGGGAGGGAGACAGACGGAAAGAAAGTGCGAGAGACTTGAAGGATGACAGGAGAGAGGAGGACAGATACAGAGATCGTGGCAGGGAAACAAAGGAAAGAGAGGCTGATCCGAGACGGGATGATGCGACAAGCAGTAGAAGTAGATCCCAGAACGAGACGGACCCTAGGGTGCCCCCACGAGCCCAGAGCAGCGGAGAGTGGAGCAGCGACATGGACAGTGATAAGAGAAACAGGAGAGGCAGAGACAGTTATGAGGAGTCGGGAAAAGAGAGTGACAGAGACACAGAAGACCAAAGAAACCCAGGTGCTGGAAGAAGTCAAAGCAGGCAAACAAGAAGTGAGAGACAAGAGAGAGACAGGGGAGATATGAAGGGGCAAAGAAGGCTGTGGTTAGAGCCAGAGGGGGACAAGAATAGGAAGGACGAGTTAGAAGACAGACAAAGGGGGAAAGAGAGGAGGAGATATGAAGATGGACATTTCGAGTCACAGGCTGAGTGGGAAAGGGAGGGACGGCGAGTAAAAGAGGAACCATGTGAGAAATACTTGCCCGAAAGCAGTAATAGAGGAAGGAATGAAGGGAGGAGTAGGAACAGGGGGGACACGGGGAGTGAGGGTGTTAATGTAGATGGAGAGGACGTGGGTGAAGTCTGGAGAGAAAGAGATAAGAGAGGGATGTCTGACAGTGATGGAGGGATAGAGAGAAGACAGCGGAGAGACGCAGAAGGAGAGAGTGTGACAGATAACACAGGGGACAGCGACAGAGAGGAAGAGGGGGGGAGAAATGACAGAGCCCAAAAAGATAGTGAGACAGGGTGGAGCGGAGAGAGAGACAGAATACAGTCAGGAGAGGAAGGCTTTGTGACCTTGTCCAGCGGAGGAGACGACGAGGATGAGAGAGAGGAAGATGAAGAAGAGGAGTTTGAAGACTGTCGGGAATTCTTGGAAAGTTCACATGATGCCCTCCAGATGCGTGAGGGGGGAGATAAGAAGGGATGTACAGTGGGAAAGGAGGAGGGGGTGGATGAAGACGAGGAGGAGAAGAAGAAGCAAAAGTATGTCTTCTGTGTGATTGCGCAAACTTTGCCCAGGTCAAACACCAGAAAGTCCCCGTCACAAGGTGATCACATGGGAGGGGAGGAAAGACACAACCCAAATATGGAGAGTCGTGATGAGGCCACACAGG